TGTACCAGCATCACCGCCGGGGCAAAGACACCGATTATTTTTGTAAANTATGGAGTGGAAGTTGGTTTGGAGGCCTGTTTGTTCTCTTCGTGCGCAACAGGACACTTTGATGATTTGAACCGGTTATATTGTCACGATGAAGCTCCTGACCGCAGAACAGAAATTGTCTAGAAATTTCGTGAAAGGGGTTCTTTGACTTCATAACCTTCGATCAGTGACCACTCTGTAGCCCTGACCTAAATCCCATGAATGTCTCAATGTGGTCAGCCTCTGAGATGAAAGCATCCTTTAGCCCAAACATGGGAAGAAATAATCTCGAAAATGCTTAGCAAAAAGCCGGGACCATTTCGATGATCCTAGCTGCGTGCCACCGTCAATGCCGTCCATCGTCGTCTTTGGGGTTGGGTGAAAGCAGAAAGCAACAGATCCCAGTCTCAATGTACAGTTTTGATAAGAAATTTGTGCTAAACCCTTTAATGAAATTGGTTTGCTCTATTGGCTTTCTATTCGTTTTCTGCGATGTGATTTCTGTGTAATAATAATTTTGGCCCACCCTGTATTGCTGCTCTGGTGCCAAGCAGTACTTTTCACCTCCTCTGTCTACGCATTGCAGCTGTATTCACACTCTATGACCGGAAAAAGTTCTAGCAAGTTTTCTGATTTACAACTTTTTACATTTCTTCTACAATTTCACTCCAATCGCTCAAAAATCTTTTTCTTGATTCCGGGAAAAGTTCCATTTTTTCGGAGTCTAAGAAGATGAAAGATGCTTAGAAACCTATATCTGAGCCCAACCATTCTCACAACTCTCGATTAATCGTCATGCGATAGGTTTTCCAATATTTTTTCCGTTTCCATCATCGCGCAACAATTTGGTCTGAACGATTCTATAACTTTCAGGGCATAGCAGCAGAAGGTCGCTTGATCCTCCTGAGAAGTGCCCGAGGTTGAGGTTTTACCCATAATCGCTGGGCTTGTTTGACCTTCACGTATTCTTGATTCCCATAAACTTGATCGAAATCAGTGGTCAGTAAAAAAACAGAAACTAAAAATCACTAATGGGTTTCTGGGTTCCTCTCTTCTTTCTGCAGCCTTTGAAACTTGTAGTCGTTAAATAGCTTCTGGTTTTCTATAGAATTGTCAAACTTTTTTAATAAAAAACTTTTTCGAGCGATTCGAGCGAAACTGTAGAAAAAAACGTAAAAAAGTGTGGACCAGAAGAATTTTTCCAGCCTCTGATTGTGAGAATAGCCGCGATTTCAAAACATTAGCCCTATTCTCGATTTTCAGAAAATACAGTATAAATAGCCTCAGCTGCCAGTAACTGCTATCAGTTCAGAAGCAATTTAATATTTCAATATGTCGGTGCATATGTATTGCTGCTCTGGTGCCGAGCAGTACTTTTCACCTCCTCAGTCTACACGCATGGCTGAAAAAGATGTAGTCATAAAAAAAGTTAATAAGAGTTTAGAGTCAATAAAAATGGTTGCGATCCATCATCATATCATGTGTATGTCATGCATTACTCTTCCAAGCTTTACGGTGCGTATTTTTTTTTGAAATATTACCTTGCATCGCAGTTCTGTGCCAAAACGTGGTGTTTTTGTTGTTTGTTTGTGAATGTTTGACAAGGTTAATCAACAATAAACATTCTTCGCGAAGTTGCCTCTTTTTGTTTCTCCTTTTGAGCCGAACAGCATTATGGTTGTTTGAAGAATACACCTTCACCCACTCTAACTTGTATATGTAGGTCGAATTTTTTAGAATGAGAAATCAGCAGAAGTGCTGAGGATGTTTCTATAAGGAAAGGCGACGGCGATCTCACTCTAAAGGACATAATACCCACAATGGAATAAAATGGATTTGCATTAGAACTCTGCCGGGGTTCATCGAGAGTCGAACATGGAGAAAAAGTTGGTGATCTCCGCTCGTGAAGCAAAATGTATTGTGAAGGTCTGCCATTGGCAGTAATGACAACAAAGCTTGCGAAGCTCAGTCCTGATGGAAAGGTTGCGTTCGAAGACCCATTTTAGTCTTTTGCGGTCATGTCCATTAGGTTGATGCATATGTTTTCTCCACCGTGTTTGATCCGTCCTAGCATGGATCTTGGTATTTTGTAATCACCAATGCGTGAAGCGTACATGATACTCTTTTTAATCACTCTAGCTATCACTCGCCAACCCTGCAATTGAAGGCCACAATGCCGCACAATTTATGCAAGTTTGTACAAATATTTACTTTGTTATTTTCGATTACTGGCAGATCAAATGCCAGGGAGATAGCGAACGTGTTGGGAGGAATTTCAAAAGGGCATGCCCCAGTCTCTTGGCAGCCTATAGCATACTGAATAGTGACCAAAGGTATAAAAGAGATAATCTGCCTCTTCCAAGGGCGCGGCACATGCCTCCCAGCAATCACTTTTGTAATGCTACCAGAAGAGCGACCATTTCATATTCTGTACTCTTTTTGAAACTTTGTGGGTTATACAATTTCCTGAGAAGAAGAGTTCAGGAAAGGGTCCGTTTGTCGTGAAGCCCACGACTTCATATTATCTGGCTGTCACTGTACTGGATACATAGTATTCGACGCGCATCGGCGGTGTGTGTGTCAAGTAGTGCGTCCGAGGGCGCGCGCGGCAAATTGCGCGGCGAAGTTCATGCCTATCCTGACGGCTTTAGCGCCTATTATTTGGGAACAGACTTGACCGTCCCTCGCATCACCATCATCATCGATTGCGCCGTCGTTATCGATTGTCACGTGGTATTGGGCGTGGCGCCGAGTGTGCACTCAACACCTTGCCATTCTGTGTCATGTCAACGCGCCGAGCGGTTGCTTTCTCTTTTCGTATGCAATAAACTCGCACAACCGTCGTCCCCTAAATAACCTCGTCCCGAAGGGATCGGAAACACTCAAAAGATTGCACTGCTGGGGGAAGAGGAATAAAAGAGGCTCCAGGGTGCGAGCAGGAGTACGGAAAGTAAAGAGCTGCCAGCCGTCGCCGAACGGCTGAAGTCACCAACAGCTCGAGAGGAATGGGAGCACCATGGAGCCTCGAGTCAGCGAAGGAACTGGGGGTCGCGAAGACGAGCAGTCCGTGCGTGCCACACGTCTGCGGACACCGCGCCGCTTTCCTTCCCCTAGGGTAGAGAGTGCCGACGACTACTAATAAGGTAGGAGCTTGACCCGTAGGCATACTTCGTATTTCCTGTCGTATGAAGACAAACGTAATAACCTTTCGTGTATCTTTTCTTGCAATAGCCTTGATAACAGGCCAATGCTTCTGTGTCGCATTTTCTACCGTTTCTCACAATAACAATAGTTATTAGCTTATCCGTAGAGATTCATATACGCACACAGGGAGGCAGAAGTAGTATGCTCGCAGGAACGAAGGGAGAAGGCAGTCGATGCCACACCAACTGATAGCAGTACCCTACAACACACAGGGCTTAAGGCAGGACCACATTGTAACGCATGGCTAGGCGAAACATCGGCGCCATTAACGGAGACCCCTCCGTTCGGACATGGTGCATCGGACTGGAGTTAGGTGGGTAGCAACACACGTCTAGCCTTAGTGATCCTGTTGCGCTGATGGGCGACTGAGGAAGCCGGAAATCACACAGACGCGCTAACGGAACGGCACGCATAACCCGGGGGTTGACAGTGATCGCCGCTAAGGCAGTGCGAAGGGGCCTACCTTACCAACCTAGTGGTCCCGTGTGGATCATGGAAGCTGGAGTGGCACCAGTCGCCATGTGAAGCACGCGACCCATCCGCGGAACTAGGGTGCGGGAGAATTACCCTGCTAAGGTCAACTTGTAGGTAGGGAGACCTCGCCTTGGCTTTAGACTGCAGCTTCGGCCCGTTGGGTCCAACTTGTTGGTCCCTGACATGAGTCCTTAGATTAGCCGGTCGTTCCGTGAAGCCGCCTGAGTGAACCCCGGGCGACCGAAATTGCACATTAGGGGGTGCAACCCTGCCCGCAGATTCAATCGTTGGTTCTGTTTATTGCATCTTCATCGTAGTTCCATCGTTAGCAGGGCTGCTGTGTTTGTAGGGTCAATACTTATCGTGGGGGTAGCCTCCCACGACCATAGCTTATCGTGGGAGGCTACCCCCACGATGTTGCCTTTTCTAGGTTTAGATTCAGGTTTGATAGCTACTACTTTTTGCCGACCATTACAACATCATTGCGTGCGAGTTCAAGCTAACGAAGGCTCTACGGTGACTACAGCTAAGCCTCCGCAGGGCCTGACCAACCCGTGCAGAAGTAAATTACCGTTGACTGCCGACGAGTACCAGCTTCTTGTTAATCGTCAAGAAGTGCTTTAGGTACATTTCGAACATCCGCGCAGTACCATATGCCATAGTATAACATTCTACCTTCTTAACCGTAGTTAATAGTTTAGATAATACACCTCATTACATTTTGTAATTAATTTCAAGTTAGAGAATGCGAGATTCATAATAGAAAGTTCCATCCATGCACTCCAGACCATCTTCAAAGAAGCCGCTTGCGGCTTGGAACTCCCTAGACGAGGCCAAGTAATATCTGGCCGGACGACGACGGCGGAGGATATAAGGAGGCGACACGAGAAAAGCAGCTCGTCACGAGATTGTCGACCATCCGACGCAGAGACCTTCTTCTCGGTCCTCTCCTAGAGATACCTCCATGTGACGATCCCAGCTCTATCATGTTCATCATTTAGCATATGCCACACTATTTAACGTTCCAGCCAGTAATGTCCATCTCTAGCTCTTCTCGGATGACATAACGCACTTCCAACGCGTTTGACGCGTGTTCAACTCCGCGATTCCCAGTGTACCATCGTTCGACTTGTGTCATCGTCAATCACGTTCTTAGAGGGCAACGCATGTATTACACTACGTCCACACTAGCAGTAACTCGCATCAACATCGCGAGATCGTCCTGTATTTGTTAGAAATGTTTGAGCCAAGGTCGCTTTCGTCGCTCTTGTCACCATCCACCATGTAGACACTGTTCAGAGATCACTCTCAGCTTCTGTGTAAGCATCGTTAACCGCAATTACAACATAGACGACGTGGTCCACGTCGGTACGACTTCTATAGGCCGCGCAGACATGACCACAGTCGCAAACACGGTGCCATCCCGTCGAAAAATCCATCTCACGACGACCGCAGAAGTTATTCCATCAGTGAGAGCTTAAGGTCTGCATCGCAGGATGATTGTCGACGAGATTATAGGCCGCAGGCTTACTCCCCAGCAAACATTATAGTCGTTTGCCCATTTGACATTTTCCGTCGATCCGTAGATCAGCCGTTTCGAAATCACTAACATCCGGCTCCTTATGCGTTTTTGAAGATGCCGCTGAACGAGTCTATTTTTGCTTGTATACCATCTTTGTCGGTCAGAGTCTGCCTCGATGTCGTGTTTCGTCATGGCGAAGTCGTACACCAGCGACTTCAAGTCAATAGCGACATCACGACTGGATCTTCTAGCAGTCCTCATTAATGTCCGCCTTGCGCAGCATCTTGTAAATCTGTTGGACATCTACATCCGTCAATATACGTCTTCTTCGATTCTCATACAACCCTATGCCACATATCTATCTCGACAGCGCAACATCTCTGTCCAAAATAGGGTTCACACCGTTAGGCTTCCTCTCGGATGTCCTAGCATCCTCTCGGCAATGTAACATCACCACTAGCCTCCGTTGTGTCGCATGATTGCGCTACAAGTGGTTTGCCGACGAAAGACGCGTAGGATCGTCTTTGGTGGTCTGGCCCATCATTTCCACGTTCGCCACCATCTTCGGTTTACTAGGTCCGACTTTCGCTACCATCTGGCAGCGAAACGGACTGCGAATCTGAGTCACAGGTGGCGCATATTGCGCATAATCCGACTTTTGCCTGTTTACCGTTAGCCGCACTAACAGCTTGAGAAAACTGCTTGGGATCACGGCACATGTCCCTCGTTTTCTGTGTACGCGAATCTTCGACCGCATTTCATCGCTGACACAAAGCGCCTATAACATCTTATAGCGCAGGCGGCGCAGTTAAACGCCAAATGAAGTCGCATAACCGCTGAGATGGCAGTCGCGGGGTGTCGTTCGTCTTAGCGCATCGTCGCGAGGATGAACACATCCCGCAGTATTGGCCCTCGTAGCAGTTCAACGCAAAGGAACACCACTTAGGACTTCCTCACTGTCCAGATCGCAGGTCTTATCGCCGCCAGTCCTTATGTTACCATCTTGTAGGCTGGCTACGATCTTCGTTTGGCAACATTACCTGCAACGTTATTACGTGGGAGTTCACTCCACCATAGCTCTACTTCGTTATAATCGTCTTATTCCATCTGGACGTACTCTAGTTGTTACAACTCTCCGCGTATGTGTCGTCTATAAAAAAGTCAGTAGTCAGTAGCCGTCACCCGCATATACCATCGCCAGCGGAAGGATGGACAATAACATCTTGTTCGTTCCACCACGTCGGTATCGACTATCTCGACTTCTCAAGTTATCGCAGTGTGTATCTACCTGTTAAAGCTTCCGGTACGACCATGAACGACTTTCTATGAATCTTGGCATCGTGTGAGTTCCGGTATGAAGGTGAGTGGTATAGCCTCAGCCAAGATGGTACAGCACTTTATTCAGTCAACGTTTCGGCGTTACCGCCTTCGTCAGGACCTGGAAATTCTTTTTTGCTTCCAGGTCCTGACGAAGGCGGTAACGCCGAAACGTTGACTGAATAAAGTGCTGTACCATCTTGGCTGAGNACGCAGAGACCTTCTTCTCGGTCCTCTCCTAGAGATACGTCACCGCTCCATGTGACGATCCCAGCTCTATCATGTTCATCATT